TACTTGCTGCGCATCTGTATGTGTGGTGCGTGTGCACCCACGGTGGGCGTGTGCTTGCGCGTGTGCCGCGGTTTGATCTGCAGCCACTGGGCCGGTGAAGCCGGCGAAGCGGAAAGAGGTGGGCCTCCGCTTGGTTTTATGTGCGTCCGCGAAAGACTCCAGAATAATTGCGTGCCGTTGCGACGGACAGATTTACGCTCCTTGTCCCTGCCAGGTCGTGAGAGACTTCTCTCTCGACCCGAGTGCCGCTCCTCCCTAGCGTCCCCCCCTTTGCTCCGTGGGTCATGGGTTAAGACGGAATGTGAAAACCATCGAGCAGAAACAGTGCAACGAAGAAAAAAAAGAAGGCGTCCGTTTCCCTTCTTTCACGGTCGGCATCCCCCCCACCTCGCTCGCTCACTCATGCCTCGGCGTTGCCGGAGTGCAATAAAAGGACGCGCGTTTCTCTTTTCACGTAAGTGTGTTTATGTTATGTAAGTGTGTGTGTGTATGCATGTTGTGTATGTATGTTGTGTATGTAAGTGTGTATGTGTGTATGTGAGTGCAGTTACTCGCGAGACTGGGAACATTTAAAATTGCCAGGTGCCTGAAGCCGGCTTGTGTTCTGGATAACACACTGACTTTGCTGTTTGCACAGTAATCTTTTCTCTTACTGATAAACTGTCTGTGACTCATCCTTCAACGTAAATTGCAAAGTGCGGCAAAAAAATGAATATCATGCTCAAATAAATTAGTAAACAGGTCCGAGCGTTTATGTACGAGATTTTATTTTTTCCCACCAACAGTTGAATGGCACTCGTTGGTTCCAACTGGCGACGCAATGGATGGTGAAATATGAAAGGGTGACGAACAAAAATACAAGTCCCTCTTTTGTGCCACGGACCATTCATTTATTTCCGATGGGGCCCATCGGCAGACTCCGTGACCGGCCTGTATTTTTGCTCGACCTCGGTTTCACACGCTCCGTGCAGAACGCACTTCACGTCAGCGCCTTTGTGCAATCGCCGTAGCGGCGTAAAAATGGCAAGGCCGGCCCGCTACCGTTTTTGAGCGATCCTCCACCGACGGCCGCGTCGGCGCTCTGCGTTCTCTGCGCTGACATCGGCGACGCGGACCGCGTTAGCCGCGTCAGTCGCCGGCAACGGGCGATGCTGACGGCACGCTCGGCGACGGAGCACTTCGCGGGCCGCCCGTATCGGGTGAGCCGTGCCAGCAGGATCACCTGGAACCAAGTGACCGACGCAAACATTATGTCAGCTCCCTTGCAGTGTTTCCCTCTTCCTTCCCCACACACTTTTTGCCGTGACCGTCTTTGCTCCCCGTAAGATGAGCGGGTCAAAAAATACAAAGAAAAATAAAACAATGCAGTGGGCGCACCTGCAGAGACATTGTACGTCGCCATTGTCTACCGCTGAGCACCGCGGTGCGTCGCGTGGGCCCAAGGACGGGGCTGTGCGGCGGACGTGGCAGCTCCGCTGGGCCGAGGCGTATTGGAGCATCTTTACCCTGGAGCTGCTGAGCCAAACCCGCGTGAAACCAAAAGGTCGGCTGGCAGCAGATATATGAATTGAGTCTGCTGGCAGCAGGTAGAGCAGGTGATTTGGGTCCTGAGTCTGGCCACCGTTCTGTCTACAAATGTTGGCTTGAGGCTGCCAGTGTCCTGGATGTCAGAGATGGATTGAGTGTGGCAGCTAGCCAGGATTTTAACATTGGGCCAGGTGATGGTGAGTTCCCGCTGCGGGTTCCTATTCTGTAGATAGAAGGCACACACTTGGGTCTTAATTGGGTTGGCTCGTGAATATTTTTACTGGTAGTCGAGGTTGTTAGGTTTGTTAAACATGCCGTCATGGGTTATTTTGACGGGGTGAAAGTGCTTGCATTGGGCTGTCACGCAAAAGTGGTTCGCATATATGAAATGTCTGGTCTCCGTATGAATTGACTGATCGTTGGTGTGGATGTGAATGGTCACGGTGCGAGCACACTACTTTGTGGGAGACGTTACTCTGTCGTCGCCAGCGACTTCGACTTCCATTCGGTTCTACAAAGAATCGTCGGTTCTTGAGTAACCAGGTCAGGTAACGTGGTTAGTTTGACTTACTGGATTTTAATTCTGTCTTCCTGGATCTTCTCATGATATTCGCGTAGTTTTAAGCGAAACGTCGTATTTCATTACTAAATGTGGTTGTGAGAATTGTTCTTTGACCTTACGGGTGATGTGCAGCAATGCCAGTCAGTGCGTTAGGTGCTCGAGTGAGTTGGACATTGACCTGTGGTAGCCGACCCAAGAAGAACCCCCCCACGATTCGATCAAGTGTCATCATTCAGAGTGGTGATGCAATTCATAAATATATATTTTTTTAAACATCGTGGCCCATTGTAGCATCTATAGTGATTGAAGCGGTCACAGGAACTAATTGATTTATAACATATATACGAATAAAAAATATATATTCTTACACGCACGATTTGATCCTTTTTTTAGTGAGCGTAAGAATCAATTCCGCCCCTGGTTTTGACTCGTATGACCTGAGCAGGTCTCCGAGCGAGGGTGGAGGTGAATGTACGTACGCACGTTTGTTGAACTTCTTTTCGCCACACGGCACGTGGGGGAATCACAATCCATGAGCAGTCGAGCTGTGGCGGTAACTCGCCGTGCGCTGCGATGCTCTCGGCCACTTGTGAGCAGGGCTGCCAGGCTGGGCGATGTTGTCTTTCTGTTTTTTTTTAAGCTGTTGTGAAATGTGAGTCACATGAAAAAAAAACTATTTTTCCCAAAATGTGTCCTCTAATTTCGGCTCCCCTCTGACACATTTAACAAAAAAACCTGGCATCCCTCATTGTGAGTGAGCTATGGACAAAGCTATGGCTGGTATTGCAATAGCATGCTCTATAATTTTGGTCTTTTTGGTTTTTTAAAGTATTTATAAGCTGAGTAGGTGTCTCACCACAAAACATGAATACAGGATACAAAATTAGTGGGACAGTTAAAAGCGCATGTTACATTTAGACAACTTTCAGCCTGCTATGCAAAAAATATAACTTGAGACAATACGATCCACGGTTTAGTGAATTATTTTAAAACGCCTCTGCCCTTCCCAGTATCGGAGCAGCGTGTCTAAGGCTGTCAAAGAAAAACGTGGCGATTTAAGCAGCGGCGTCTAATGGGATATTTTTTCCCGAACGGCGTGGCCGCTAAACCGCGAAAAGATGCGCGAGGCAAGCAGTTAAGTGTGCCGGGACATCTGCCGTTGACGGTAGCCTAAAAGGATTAAGGGGGCTGATCCTTTTCCCCTGAGGGCGCATGTTGGAGTATGTGCCACCGATTACCCCTCCCGAAAGCGGGGGCAATCTCTAACAAGCTGCTCAAAGCTCCGCGTTGAAGGCAGCCCACAGCTTCACGAATGGGAGGGCCCTTCGTGCCTTCCAAACACCCCCTGAAAACATCGGGGTGCACTTCTGTGGATTTTGTAGCTGAAACAGCCAGAGAATCCAGCAGAAAAAAACCCCCAAACCTTTAGATCTTTAGAATTTTTTTTAGAAGAAAGAAAGACTGGTCTTCTGCCAAAGCCGGTGGATTATTGTGTTATTTCGTCAGGACGCCTGCTCTCACACCGTAGAAAAATAGAACTTTCTTATTCTCGTATCCGTAGAAGCCTTGCGTTTCGGCGTCTTCTCAGCTGCCTCGTGCAATAACAGCGCGCTGCTCGGGCGCAAACGCCATTGGCAATTCCTGAAAATGGTGACGTCAAAAGTGGCTGTCTGGATGGCGACTGGCCTCTTGTTCTTGGGTTTCGCGGCCACGTTAACACATAGGGATTATATTGTATTTAAACAGCAGTATTTGCAAGCGGTGTCCTGTTGCATTGTTAAAATTAAAAACCACCTGCAAATATGTGTTTTACCCGAAGCGGAAAACTTTAAGATGCCTCGATGCACGCGACATCTTGTGTGTTTTGTAATAAGATGATGCAGATCAATATTTGGGAGTTTGCTCTGAACAATATCACAATAATTAGGTATCGGCAATCTTCATATATTAATAAATATTCGTAATCATGCCTTGTCCGGAATTCAAGTTGTGTAAATTAGCAGGCCAGAGTCGTATATAGTGACAAAGAAGGGATGAGCGAGCTAAACATTCGTTTTTCAGGCTCTCGTTTTCATTCGCCGCCGGTTTAGTCCACGTGCCAACGTTGACGCGGAAGGCGGATCGGTGGTGGTTGTCGTTCCTCCCAGTTTGTCCACGAACACACACGCCGTGCAGCCATCTTTAGTCAGTCCACTGCTCGATGAGAAGCTGCGCACGCGGCTTGGGCCACGGTGGCGGGGGTGCTGTGCGTATGGAGTGGTGGATTTATCGGCCTGCAACGTCACGAGTGGCAGCCGAGCTGACGAGTCGTTGCTTTTGTCGGCTGCGTGCCATGCGGGGCGATATAAATGATCTCAGCACTGCACTCCTCCTGCCGTACCCAGGCTCTACGAGGCACACCGCACAATGGCTTTGCTCATCACGTACGTGCACTGCCCTTTGTCAATACGTTGCTGGATGAAGTAAAAATAAGCAGAATATGATTTTAACCTCATGTTCATTTTACACGCTAAAATAATTTCATTGTTTCGTCATTCTTTTTCAATGAAAACTATTTACATGCGTTTGTACTTGGTTTTATCGCTCTTTTTATTCCTCTTGTTGAGCTGTTATTCTGTACACGTGGGGCACGGAACAAGTTTGGCAGTGGCAGGCCGCTGCACTGCGTGCGCTTGTGCTGTGTCTCTCAACACTTCCCCGCGACGTTTAGTTTGCCTCCACACTTGAGGTTTGGTTCAATTCTCCCCCAAAAGGAAAACAAAAAACAATGGCAGTTCAGCTGCTACAACTCAAACATTGAGGAATTTGAGCGTTTGAAATCTGGTCTAGCTCGAGTTTAGAATTTTTAAATATTTCTGTACGTTTGACGTTTTAAAAAATGAAATATCTTTTTATTTTTCCTTCTGTCCAGCGATAACCGGTGGAAGTTACAGCCCAGTGGCGTCCCTGCAGTACTCGCCCCAGCTCTACCCCTCCAAGTGAGACACGGACAAGCTGCCTCAGGCAGCAGATGCCACACACACACTCACGCTGATAACCATGGCACTACCACTCCGCTTACGAGACAAGGACAAGATAAATATTCCCGATATAGCCTTTAACAAAATCTTGGGGTAAGTGCTATTATAATCAGAATCTAAATTAGTGAGTACCTATGAAGGCTGGTCTGCACACGAGCGGGTGGTTGGCCAGCACTACGTCCAGCCACCTCTGTCTCCCCAGTGGCGATGTCTACACATCCCACCAGGTACTCATTTGAGGCTGAGTCAACCGAGGTCAGGACCAGGATGGGTTCAGATAATAGTCACAGGTGTTGGCCTTAAGTGGGAATCGAACTCGGGTTTCTGCGTTCGTAGCGGAGAGCATTAACCGCTGTGCCATTGCTCTCCGCACGTACACACACACAAAGACACACACACTCCTCACATCCTAGTTGGGTAAATTAAAACAAGTGTCGTAACAAAAAATACATACGCGTGCACGAGCACGGACTACTCCATTGGCGTACAGCGCTCGCGAGCGGATGGCTCGTGACACCGTCGTGCTTAGCAGAGGCACTAACCTGCCGCCAAATGTCACTCCGACTTGCCCGACAAACATTAGCGGCGGCACGTTTTTGTGGGCCACACAAAGCCCTAATGTACCGCGTGTTTATATTGGAGCCACATTTGGACATCGCGTGGTATTTTTGCTTCGCAATTATCCTCGCGAGTTTCCCCTGAAATAATATAAATGGTGCTGTAGCCGGCAGCTGCCTCACTGCGCCGAGGCTGAACGTTAATATGCCACGTTCGTGTGCCACGTTAATGTGCCAAGGGTGCTTGCCATCGAGATGCTCACCCACGCCCCGCAGCATCTGTGGGTGTGTTTTTTTAAAGTTTTGACTGAAAAATATTAGCTTTAGAATTTGATTGTAAATGGCTTCAGTCGTCTGACGGTAGCGCACCTTAGCTTACCGTGGACTGTCTTCCACGATAAGCATCGACGTTGCCACAGTGGTGACCTCACCCTTTGATCGCTTTCGTCACGTTTCATTAATACGATGCATAATAGTCACTTATTTAGGAAAACACTATTGAGTCTTTTTTAGGAGAATCATGCAGTTGGAAGTTTGTTTACTCTGTTTATAAACGACAGAAGCATACAATATGCCCCTTACCATACTTGTCTCATCACATAAATACACAGAATGTGTGTTGAACACATCCCATCACCTGCACGGCTTCCGGGAGCACAACATCTCACCAGCATTGGTTCAATAAATGCAAATTCTGGACCGATTTTGACAGTCATTGTCTCATCAGCAGGGTCAGGCTGACTTAAACCAATGCTGGTGACCTGCAAGATGTCTACGGGCAAGGACCCTCTCTGTCAGCTATGAGCCTTCGTGTGCCGTATTAATATAAGTGTTAGCTCATTCAATCCTGTGGTGAAGTGCAATCTGTTCCTCACACAACCGATCACTCCCCTCGGTGCACCCACGCTCGCGATGCCGTCCCGTGGATTGCTCAACACCCGGCGGTGACGTTCAGTCAGTCGCTTTATGAAATGGAGTTCCAAAGAAGGAATTCGATCGTAAGGTGGAAAAAAACGGAAAACAATAATCGAATTTAAAGAGATCGTCATAGTTTAAACAGAAGCGAACCACGCTTGCCATTTGTTTAGTTTGTACTTGGACGCTACTGCTGATGCAAGCTCTCAAAGTTGGCAGTCGTGGTACGTGTTTTTATCTGGCTTTGATTTTAACTTCAGTTGTAATGCACTGTGAGAGCGATGGCATCTTACGTAGTGTGTGGCGAGGAAGGCAATGGTTTTGCTAGACAAGGGGCTTTGTTGTTGTTGTTGTTTACATACTTCACCCAGCACTGACATCCGCCTCCCTCCCCACAGTGGGGCTCACCTGTCACCCCACTCATCAACCTCCAGCAAGCGCACGCAGACACGCGGATATGTGCACGCACATGGACATACAACAACAATAACCGCCATTCGTTACTAAATGGCGGTTACGGCGCTTGTGCCAGGCTACGTTAAGGCCACATGAAGTGTCAAACGCCCGCTGGCAGGAGATCACGGGACATACCCAGGTGCCATGGGTCGACTGACTGAGATGGGATACACACACATGGACACAGACAGGCGTGCACACATGCGGATACGCACACGTAGGGACACATGGACGCACACACACATGTGGACATACACATATGGACACGCATGATGAGGCAAGATCCCCTGCTTAGTCTTAGAATCTGTAAAGGCAAGTGCTGTTAGTGAGTGCCTCTTGAAACCAGTTCGGCAAGTGAGTAAGTACTGTGACCAGCACCACTCCCAGCCACCTTTTTGTCCCCAGTGCCGGTGTTCGTACTCCGCACCGAGTACTCGTCCAAGACCCAGTCAGCCTAGGGGAGGCCCAGAACAGGTTTAAATAGCACTTGCCATTCATGTTATCCACAGCTGGGATGCGAACCCAGGTGACTTGAAACTAAGCAGAGTGCGCAAAAATCCACTGCACCACCGCTCCCCACACACACGCACACACACGGTTAGGCGTTCACTTTGAACACACACACACACACACCGCGGGCGCGTCGTGCAAACACGTGCTATCCCAAGTACACAAACACAGCGACGGCGATGCAGCAGCCTCTCTCTCTCTGTGTGTGCCCCCCCCTCCCCCCATGCTTGCAGGTCGTACCCCCACATCCTGTCGGCCCCACCGGCCCAGGCCATGGCGGCGTACCCAGGTGCGGCGCAGTATTCGGCGGGCATGCAGCAAGCGGGCGCCTACGCTAGCTACGCGCAGCCCGCGCACTATGGCGTCTCCGACTACGGTGAGCCTCCGCGCGGCAAGCTTGGCGACACGCAGGGTACCTTCGTCTAGCTGTCAATCGAAATGTGCCCACAGCGTCGTCTTCGTAGTCCACCATCTTCATCGCCGTCATCGTCGTCTTCGTGAGGCGTGATCTATTCACTGCTGGATGAAGGCCTTCCGACACCGTCCACACTACTCGCGCTTCAATGATGCCGCCCGTTCATCTCGCTCTTGCACGTGAACTGGTCTCATCTCGCTCCTGCACGTGAACTGGTCTCGTTGATCCGTGTCGGCGGTGATCGTCCACTTGGACACGCTCCCTCCTTTGGCTGCCACTTTGTCACCAGTCTCATCCGCCGTTCCCTCTTGCCGTGCCGCGTCCTGCCCAAGCTAGTTTACTTCTATTGTCAGTACGATGTGTCTGCTTTGTGTTCCCGGATTCGCATGTTCCCTTTTCCTGTCTCTCGGTGCAATCCCGTACTTGTGTCTCTCAGTGCTGCCTTGTGCACTTTCAGCTTTTGTATCGTTTGCTTTGGCAATTTCTACGTTCCTGATCCAGGCATCTAAGCTGGCTTCATGCACTGATTAATAACGCTGCCATCCACAGCCATGGGATACATGGATTGTCTTGGATCTTTAGGTTTGAAAGTTACAGGTCAAATTGTCTCACTGCTCAAACAAATGTGGGGTAGCACCTGGCTGTGTAAGGCTCAGGGCCGCCCGTACTGGAGATCTGTGAAAAAGAGCTTCATAGCTCATTGGATTTTTCCAGGATAAATAAATATTCTGATTCAGAGCCAGAGGTGGAAATTCCACATTCCTAAGGTCAGTGTGGTGTGCTGAAGCAGGGTGCCAGTGACTGGTTTAGATATCACTCACCACCCATGTTAGGTTTAGATATCACTCGCCACCCATGTTAGGTTTAGATATCACTCGCCACCCATGTTAGGTTTAGATATCACTCGCCACGCATGTTAGGTTTAGATATCACTCGCCACCCATGTTAGGTTTAGATATCACTCGCCACCCATGTTAGGTTTAGATATCACTCGCCACCCATGGTAGGTTTAGATATCACTCGCCACCCATGTTAGGTTTAGATATCACTCGCCACCCATGGTAGGTTTAGATATCACTCGCCACCCATGGTAGGTTTAGATATCACTCGCCACCCATGTTAGGTTTAGATATCACTCGCCACCCATGGTAGGTTTAGATATCACTCGCCACCCATGGTAGGTTTAGATATCACTCGCCACCCATGGTAGGTTTAGATATCATTCGCCACCCATGGTAGGTTTAGATATCACTCGCCACCCATGGTAGGTTTAGATATCACTCGCCACCCATGGTAGGCGTGGCCAGGAATTGAACTGGGTTGTCACCACGCTCAAATAGCAGTGAGCTAACCACTGCACCACCGCTCCACCCTCCTCCTCTTAGAAGGTGATATTAGTGACGCAGGTGGTGGTGGTATTGTAGTCGTGCGGAGCGGTTGTGGTGCGATTAGCGCTACGCTGCGCTACGAACCTGGCGACTTGAGTTCTATTTCCCCTCACGTCCAACACCAGTGACGATTATCTGATGCGGTCCTGTGCCTCCTCTAGGTTGACTCAGCCTCAAACGAGTAGTGTGTAAATATTGCTACTACGGAGACAAATGTGGCTGGGCGTTGTGCTGGCCACCTACCTCCTCGTGTGCCGTGCCGGACTTTATAGGTGCTCGCGAACAGCACTGTTACAGCACTGTTAAGGCTATACGGGGGATCTTTGTCTTTGGTGGTAGTAGTGGTGATAGTGCTGGTGGAGGTGGTAGTGGTGGTAAGGGTGGAGGCGTAGGTGGTGGTGGTATGTTTCTAGCCCGTAATTTAATTGTGGCTCTGTATTTGCACGCCTTTGATACTGCGTCACATTTGGCCGTGTAAAATGTGCGCGCAACAATTACTTCTGTCCATGGCTATTGTGCAGAAACGGCATGCGGTTTTCCAGCCGTGGAAAAGCTTCACTGCAGACAGAAGGAAGGAAAAAAAAAGTAACGCAGCGGTCCTGCGAGTGAGCGCGCGGCCGGGCCACGCGAACACGCAGGCAGCGACGCTCGCGACAGTAACCAGTACCGTCGGGCAGCCCTTTGTAAATGCAAAGTGCTTGGCGGTTGGCGGTGCCTAAACTCGGGCGCACAGCATTGCCGCTATCGTAGATCAAACAGCGAAGCCTGGTCCATTAGCCACATAATGGCTTTTGCCTTTTCCAGAGCAAATGTTCTCAAGCTCCTGATGTGTTGGGAATTGCTTTCAATAGGCCTCTTTGTGCATTTAAACCTCAAATAGAATTTTTATTTAATGTGTTTTGCCGATAAAGCCACATGTCCGATGGGTAATTTTGTTTCGGTGCTGCTTTTCCTCGGTTTAATACAGATTTATAGGCACACAGACAACCGCAGCATACTTGGAAAGCTTTTTGTAGAAGCTTAAGTAGATTTCTCTTTTTTCTGCTGCTAGTATTTTACATCTTGCAACCGCTAAAGCTGGACTGTTTGTTTAAAGTGAAGGTTTTAGTGCGACAATAAAGCGTGGGGCAGAAGCGCACTGTGAATGAAACACTTGCGCAAACCTGGAGAGAGGCGATATTCCTAAAAATCCTGCGTGGAAGCGGCTTTGCACATAGCCACGTACAGCGGAGGCCGTGCCGCACCACAGCTGGACTTGCGGGAGACAAGGCCGTCTTGGCCGAGGCGTTGTCGGTCGTTTTGCGGGAATATCAATCGCGCTTCTCGTCTCACCAGCGACACATGAAGTGCGTGAAGTCTCCGGCGTTACCGAGTCGATGTCGAGGTGACGGAGACGGCGTTGCCCGTGTTTGCCGTGAGCCAGGAGCCCTGCGATACGGCATCAAGACGGAGAGCGGCCTGAGTCAGGCACAGTCGCCCGTGCAGACGGGGCACCTCTCCTCGTACGGCTCCAGCTTCGGCACCTCGCAAACGGCACAGTCTGCGTACCCCTACCAGATGCAAGGTGAGGGCCTCGGTATGTTCCGCATCCTGCCGTCACCGGCACGGGCCACCACTGCGCGTCACCGTCCCGGAGCTCGTTGAGCCGCGGAGGCTGTTACTTCACTCAGCGTGCCCACCGTGGCTGCGTCTCGTGTTGTTTGGGCAACCTTCATGATATCCCCTGAATTGCTTTTGTAATATGATGATGACGATGATGGCAATGATTGTGTCTACACACATTAACTCAAGCATTTGGCAGCGTCATTGATATTTAATTGAATCTTGTAACGAGTTCATATTTGCAGGTGGTGTGACTTACTCATTGAGGTCCTAGTTAACAAAATATTCATCACAGTGTCTGTGTTGCACACTGCGCATGTATACTGTTATGTATACATGCACGTCATGTTGCTGCCATAACAAGTGTTCGTAATGGGTTAGGGTACATGTTAAATTAATATACCATATTCTGAATTAGCATTAAAGGTATACGAGTATAGTAGAGAACTATGTGCTGTAAACAAGTGCTGCATGACGTTTGACACCAACATTAGCCCTTAAACAATGGCATTGTCAAACGTACAACGCATTCTCATTATTCTAAGCACTCTGCTATTATCTCCAGACACCATCGAGGTGAATTGGCACCCTGTGAGCGCCGCGTGTGTATTCACCTCTCCCTGTTTACTGTTTGTGCTACTGTAGAACATTGTACCTCGAGGAGCTTTCCTGTAAACACGCATCTTTGTGCTTGGCTGAGGCTATAAAACGCCGGCCATAAACACGGTTCTGTGTGTGTGTACACAACACGGTATTTGTCTCTGGCAGCTGCAGCCCACTTTACTTGGGAAGTGTTGAGGCCATCGTGAGCCATGCGCAGTGGATGTTATGCAGGGGAGCCGAGTGAAGTCTCTTCAGATGAATATAGCCGTAAAGTAAAGCACCTAAGATTTGAGTTGATTATTCTAAATCTGTTGCCACCGATTTTAATATTGAGGAAATGTGGAAGATGGCATTGCCTTATCCATTAGTATTTACCTGGAATACAAACTCTACACATTTGTCACCAACAGCTGCCATAAACAATTATTATGTGTATATAATACGTGACATCCGGGCAATTGCCCTAGAGAAAGCCTATTGCCTGAAACGTCGCCTGCACTATATATAATATTGTTACAAATTTTGAGCTGTGCTGTTGACAAATATTTCGTATTTTTGTTAACTGTGCTTATACACCACTGCCAATGCTGTACCTTACTTTTCTTTTTAATATGTAACTTTATACTGATATGATTGCCTCTTTGAAATTATAAGAAATATTATTCAAGAAATGCTCACATTTACATATCATATCAATAGTCCAGAAAACCCTCACCGAGTGGCAAGACTCAGAAGGGTCCTGAAATGGAATGCGTTTGCGAAATTCATCTTTGTGTGTTTATTGGGCGCTTAAATGCCTTGGCAACTCAAAGCACCTTAAATAAAACAAATCCCCGAAGCTACGTGCAATACCAGGGCCAAATGTCAAAAAAATCGGTGGGAAACGCCACACATTAAACATCGTGAGATTCACGGTCAACGAAAAGGATGAACATATAAGTATGGGGAGGATAAACTCATCATCAGCAGCAGCAGCAGCCATGGTCAATCCGCTGCTGTATTAAGGCCTCCCCAAGATGCCACCACCTCTCACAGCTGACTGAGCGGGCAGGGAGGCGTGAAGGCCGTGAGGGGCTCCACACTAGGCAGGTACCTGGGGAGAGGTCAGACAAGATGTATTCCATTTACTAACCTGGTGAAGTATGGTCAAACCGCACCCCCCATCCGCCAATCACCCTCTGTTAAACCGATAGCTTGAAATTATGAATAGCATTGTTCAGTAAATGCTCGTGGCCCTACCGACATTAGAGGCACCTATAAAGCACGCTTTTAAAATATAGCACTGCTTATTTTCGCCTTAGCGCTGTCACTGCTGGATGACCCTGCGGTTCTTCTTTTTTATTTATTTCTGCCATCAGCCATGACAGTCAGGGCAGTAATCTGTCCCTGCTGGGTAATGGCCCTATAATTGAACCCTCATCGCATTCCCGACAATCACCGTGATGGCCAGATCACCCCAAAGACTCGTTAACTTTAATGTCCGGTCTGTGTCTGCACTTGGATGACCTTTGGCGGTTAATGCACACGTGTACACGTGTGTATGTGTGCACGTGTTTACGTGCACACACACACACGTGTACACGCGTGTACGTGTGTACACGTGTTTACGTGTGCACACATACACTTGTACACGCGTGTACGTGTTCACGTGTTTACGTGCGCGTGGGAGAGCTGAGAGCAAGGGGGGGAGAGTAGGGACGGTGGCGCAGTTGGAGTTTTATTTTAGTTTAGACTGTTTAAGGTCCGGCTTTAGTTTGTCAAAAAGTAAAATGTATTTGCTCAAAGGAGCAATGCTTATCTCCTGTTTACAGGCCTGAGCCAGTGGTGGAAATTCCTCATTCCTACGGTGGGGGCGAGTCTATCCATAGAACAACCGCTGTTGACTTCCCCACGAAGCAGCATTTTATCGACCCTGGAGGGTTGATGAGCTGCGTCAACCCCGAACCAGGATGTGAACTCGCAGCCTTCCCATTGCGAGCCGCCGGTTCTAGCGCCGAGTCACCTGGCCGGATAAGGCGTCTAGCAAGCATCCCGATCCGCTGTCGCCATGTGTGCCAGTGTCGTTGTTGTTCACACGTCGCGCGCGCTTGCACATCGGCAGTTGTTTTGCACTGTAAACTTCTGCGAACGGTCGGTTTATACATCGCACAATAATAATTTGATGCGATCGCATATATGTGAAAATCTGTTGTATCTGTAACGCAGGATGCAGAGTTGCTAAAAAATAGTCGTCATCCGCTCAGAAAGTGGGAATTCCGATTGTAACTTTGTTTTTAGCTCACAGCCGTTACCCGTTACGGATCCGGGAACAGAATGCACGGAGCAGCGCCATGTGGAAACACACTTGGTGCTTTGCGGAATGGTGTCACTTCTCATTATAAAATCCCGTTTAATGACCTCCATTTGTTTCCGTCATGCTATATCGCTGCCTGTGCTCCCGAATCCCTGGGATCATTCCTGACACCACATCTTTGCGGTGCATGAGAAATCAAACCTGTGTCTTGACACACCGCAAGGCTGTAATATTCCAGATTTGCCGCGCACCCAGCAAAACATGCCTTTCGCATTATGTGCGCTTATGGCAGCAGAAGTGAATGACAGAACAATCTCCCTGCAATTTGACGAAAAATAGCCAGGCTACTTTGAACAATGATTTTTGTAAAAAAAAAGTTAAATTGTGGTTGCATTGCCCAGGCCAACAAAACCACGCATAAAGCAACAAACAGCACTCTTAGGGTTGTAGCAGATACGAGTTAACGCATTTCTTGAAGTGGACAAGGAAGTAAGGACATGAGAAGAGAGACGATGATGGGAAGAGGGGGATTCTACAGTTGGACAGTGGGAGGGAAGATGCAGATAGATACATGTTGTGATCTCGAGTGTGGTCAGTGGGTGGGTGAGTGGGTAGGTGAGTGGGTGGGTGAGTGTGTGGGTGAGTGTGTAGGTGAGTGCATGCATGTGTGAGTGGGTGAGTGGGTTGGTGAGTGAGTGGGTGAGTTTGTGGGTGAGTGTATGGGGGTGAGTGTGTGGGTTAGTTAGTGGGTGAGTGTGTGTGTGAGTGGGTGAGTGTGTGGGGAGCGGGAGTGTCACGGTTAGTGAGCTGCATTACGAACCTGGCGACCCAAGTTCGATTCCCGTTCACGGCCAACAACAGTGACGATTATTTTAACTGGTCCTGAGCCTCCCCTAGGTCGACTCAGCCTCAAATGAGTACCTGGTGCGATGTGTAAACATCGCTACTAGGGAGACAAAGGCGGCCGGGCGTGGTGTTGGCCACCCACCCCCTCGTGTGCCGTGCCGTCCTTTATAGGTGCTCGCTAACAGCACTTGCCCCTACAGTCTGTTAAGGCTATATGGGGGATCTTTGTGTGTGAGTGTGTGCGTGAGTGTGTGAGTGAGAGTGAGTGGGTGAGTGTGTGTGAGTGAGTGTGTGTGAGAGTGTGATTGTGGGAGTGAGTGTTGTGACCTGCAGTGACCCAGTCCTCAACATGAGTGCAGGAATCGCTGAGTGTGGTTCACAGGAACAGAGGCCGCCGCCGTTGCGCCAGCGTCAACACAGAGCCATAAACAAACTGCGACACGGCTAGCGTCGACTCCAAAGCCTGCACACCTTTAATGTTAACACCACAGTGTCATGATGTAATATATTAAAGGTAAATGTATGTATATATTTTTTTATTGTGGAAAGGTGTCTGTTTTCCTGTGGCTAAAATATGTTGTTATATATTATTGACCTTCTACCACATGGCATCACCACATGGATAACGTTGAAAACACCACACATATTTTTAACTTGGTAAAGTTAGTCAAGTTGTAACATCTCTGCCACCAATCACCAGTCTTTTGTTTTATGCTAACCCTGTTCCTCAGCAGTTGCTCACAAAGAGCCCGAGTCCAGGTTAGAACAGATTGCCTTCACGATTATTCGCCGTTGGGCAAAGTCGACTTACATGAAGGGGGCGATGCGGTGGACTGACAGATTACATGTAAAAGATACAACATAAGTCTCGACAAAGTCTTTTGTTAGCACGGCTCGCAAATTGAATTTATGAGACTTTTTTTTCCTTACTTGCGATAGAAAGACGTCATCGCTCTCTCTGATGATGAGTTTAGCTTGTGTGTGTGTGTGCATGTGCGTGCGTGTGCATGTGTGTGTGTGTGTGTGCACGTGCGTGCATGTGTGCATGTGTGTGTGCCCGACGCTTTGTTGCAGAGCCATCTCAATGTGCTCAGAGTATCAAGCCACAGTAGACAAGGGCCACGCGCTGCAGACGCACGCTCGCTCACTCGCTCTCCCCAGCCAGTCAATCGCTGCACAGGTCCCGACACCCTGTAGCTGCAATCCCCAGAGGACAGCGAAACTCTTCTCATCCGCAGCTCCATCCCGGTATCTGTAATTTGGCCCACGTGCTATTACTCGCAAAATCGGCAGTTAACCAAAAAAATGGAAACACTGACCTGCTTTGCGCTTAGGTTATGGACAAGAGGCATTGCTCAATTAATGTATCGCCTACTCCACAAGATTGTGTGTGAGGAGTTTTTATCATGGATTGTCGATGAAAACTCTGCTTATCTGTATTTTCGCTTATCCATGATGGATCCCCCCACTGCATTGTGGGTATGATGTTTCACAGCATTCATGGCCTTTAAAATAATTATTAATCACCAGTTACCATCTTGTCTTCTTCCTGCAAGCTCACAAAATCAGGATTGTTGTTTTATTGATGTGATTGTAGGTAAACTCTGTTTTCTCTGTACGATTTGACCTCATCCACTGTAAACTTGGCGGCAGTATGCTTGACTCCTGTATAACGTCATCATCATCTTCATCATCAGCAGCTGTGGTCATTCCACCGCTGGATGAAGGCCTCCACAATCTGACGCCACCTCTCAGCATCCCACCGACGTCACACACGAGTATAATCTAACATTCGTTACCCATCGCGTACCGCGCGAGACGTCGTGAGGGCGATTGTCCGTCGCGCCATGTGGTCGTGGCGGTGGCTGTGCGCCGGTGTTTTGCTGCCAGGCGGTGGCTTCTCGTCGGCCGCGGGAATCTACGCCAGCTCCAACTCGGGGGGCAGCTCGTCAGGCTTCACCAGCGCCTCGCAGCAGGTACCCCACGGCACGGCCCTCGCTAGCGCCGTGACCCTGCCCCTCGCTAGCGCCGTTACCCTGCCCCCAGCACCGTGACCCTGCCTGTCGCTAGCGCCGTTACCCTGCCCTCGCCAGCGCCGTGACCCTGCCTGTCACTAGCGCCGTTACCCTGCCCCTCGCTAGCGCCGTAACCCTGCCCCTCCCTAGCGCTGTGACCCTGCCCGTCGCTAGCGCCGTTACCCTGCCCCTTGCCAGCGCCGTGACCCTGCCCCTCGCTAGCGCCGTTACCCTGCCCCTCGCTAGTGCCGTGACCCTGCCCCTCGCTAGCGCCGTTACCCTGCCCCTCGCTAGCGCCGTGACCCTGCCCCTCGCTAGCGCCGTTACCCTGCCCCTCGCTAGTGCCGTGACCCTGCCTCTCCCTAGCGCCGTGACCCTGCCTGTCGCTAGCGCCGTTACCCTGCCCCTTGCCAGCGCCGTGTCCCTGCCTCTCGATAGTGCCGTTACCCTGCCCCTCGCTAGTGCCGTGACCCTGCCTCTCCCTAGCGCCGTGACCCTGCCTGTCGCTAGCGCCGTTACCCTGCCCCTTGCCAGCGCCGTTACCCTGCCCCTCGCTAGTGCCGTTACCCTGCCCCTCGCTAGCGCCGTAACCCTGCCCCTCCCTAGCGCCGTGACCCTGCCCCTCGCTAGCGCCGTTACCCTGCCCCTCACTAGCGCTGTGACCCTGCCCCTCGCTAGCGCCATTACCCTGCCCATCGCTAGCGCCGTTACCCTGCCCATCGCTAGCGCCGTTACCCTGCCCATCGCTAGCGCCGTTACCCTGCCCATCGCTAGCGCCGTTACCCTGCCCCTCGCTAGCACCGTGACCCTGACCCTGGTGGTTGATGTTTGACATCCACTCAGAGTGGTCTTCCTCTTCCCCTGAGAGCATCATCCAAAGCAGCTGGTCAGCATGCTTTATTATCGCCGTGAATGGAAGCTCAAATTATTATAATCTGTAAATATTTACCTTTGTCTTTTCCTAATCCTAAAATGCAACACTAACCTGACCTTGTGTGTTTTATAATAATGCCACGCCCTTCGACAAAGGCGTACGCTTTATAATTTTCGCACCTCTTCGCCTCTTATATCTCGCCTGATTTTTAGCCGCAGGCAGCTTCTAATGCTCCCTTTAATTGACACGTGTGTGTGTGTGCTTTCACGCACGGTCGCGCATTCATGAAAATAAAATCGGCAAAGGAGAGCAGGAGGGCTTTGACAGGAGTGCTTGGCAGTGGATGTTTTTCTAATCAAAAGGTCTAACGAACAGGAAACAAGCAGAGGCTCAGGGTGACTGGGGGAGTATTGGGTGATAATTTAACCATGGCGAGTCAGAATGATCTGCGGCCTCTACTCGAGGGACAGTGTGATTGAAAGGGGTCATTGGGAGATTTTGTTTGCAAGCCTCACGGAAAAACAAGACCCCCACAGCACTCGACGCCAAAAACACGCGCAGATTGCGGCTCACTCGCTGAAACTGAACACACGGAACATAATTTTGGAGCCAATCGCAATTTTTCGCATTGCTGCCAATTTGACGTTCTCTTAGCTGCGCGCCACACATCTGTAACGTTCTGGTTGAGATTAATGAAAAAAAACCCCACGGTTTTAATTTTCAGAAGTTTAGAGAGAGAGAAAGAGCGAGCGCGTTGGCGATCGCTGTCGGCAATGACGGGGCTCCTCTTCCAAAAGCACAGCCTCATGCGAGACTTCACGCATCCCCACCGAGCGCCATCCATGTCGCAGTTGTGCACCTCTGTGAACTGTCCTCTCTCTACGTTGTCCACCCCCGTGCTTGCAGGACTTCTCGGCGTACGCCAGCTTCAACCAGGGCCAGTACGCGGCGTACTACCCGGCGACGGCGGCGTACGGCTCGTACGTGACGGCGGCCAGCGTGTCGGGCTGCTCGTCGCCAACCGCCTCCAGCACCACCTACCAGCTGCAAGAGCCGCCACCGCCACCTCTGCCCGCCACGCAAGCAGGTGCCGGTCACTGCCACCGTCACCGCAATGGCCGCTACTACCGCCACCACAATCATCACCACGACGGTCACCACCACCACCGCTTCCGCCACTACCCCAACTACTACTACCATCACCGCACACCACCAGCTGCTATATAAAAGGGTCATTCCACAAACATTTCTTGGGATATTTGGAAACATCATTACTCGATATTGCGTTTTTAGTATTACTGTTAAACTCCTACCAACATCTCAGAGGGTGTCTGCAGTCAGCCGCGTGCGCTCGATGCGTGCCACTACGACGTCGCCAAGGCGAAAGCGCCCACGCTCGCGGTCCGCGTGCGTTGCCCTCCGCAGGGGACTTTGGCGTGGGCACCTGCCCAAGCACGCCCGTCAAGGAGCTGGATGAGCGGGCGCGGCGCGGCTCCGAGACCAAGTCCCGCAGCCGGAACCGCAAGAGCAACCCCTCCCCCCCGCCGGGGAACGACCTGGAGGTACGGCTGCATGCCTCGCCGCGGCAGCGAGCCGTCATGCCGTGACCTCGTCGGGCTTCGTGGCTCCACGCTGGGCTTTATGGGGCCTCTTGGATCCTCGTGGGGCCTCGCGGGGCCTCGCGAGGCCTCTTGGGGCCTCATGGGACCTGGCGCAGCCACGGGGATCCAAGCTGCCGTGGCCTCTTCTGCTGCCGTATGAGCGGTGGTATCGCGTTTCGTTGTTGTTGTTGTTGTTGTCAGCCGGCAATGTCCCACTGCTGGGCAGAGGCCTCCCCCATTTCCTTCCATTTCTTCCTCTCCTCCATTGCTCCTGCCCAGCAGTGAGTCCCGGTTTGCTCTTTGATTCCGTCTCGCTGCCATCTCTTCCGTTGGCTTCCCCTGCTTCTTTCCACATTCTGGTGACCGTCGTCAAATGCCCGCAACTCGACTCGTTTGAGCAGATGTGGCCAGTGCACCGTGTCTGGATTGGCTGGTTAATGCGTGGAGCTTGCATGCCGGTTTTCTGTCTGTGGCGGTAGCGTGCAGCGTTGCAGCTTCCACGGGGACATCATGGAATTGTCACGATTCGGGGTCGCCTGATCCTGTTTACTATTCGCCACCTCACGTCTACCGCATCACTATTTTTACATCGCTCGTATGGTTTAGTTGCTCTTTCAGTTACTCCTCCAGCTTATGTTGTAACAAAACAGCGAATTACCCCGTTCACCGAACAATAGCAACTTATTGTTAGAGTGACACGAGGGCAGTTGTTGAAGATGGGGGGTTGTCTTCCCTCCGACTGAGCATCCCTGCCCTGTCGTGTTGCCGCCCACAGCGAGTGTTCGTCTGGGACTTGGACGAGACCATCATCGTGTTCCACTCCCTGCTCACCGGCTCCTTTGCCACTCGCTATGGAAAGGTGAGAGCCTTGTCAATGTCTCGCGAGCTTACATGGGGACCATTGAGATGAAATCCGCTCGGAGTCAATTAACCGACATCCAAACAAACTTTCACATTGTTGAGGTTATGTGTGGTGATTGTCAGTCTGGAGTGTTATGGGAATATTTGTGGCTACGACTTGCCCCCCCCCCCCCCCGCTAAAATGTACTGAGCTTGGCTCAAGTGCAAGAGCTATATGCGTTTTTTACATCAAGAGACCGTGAGGAATTGCGACAGCTTCAGGAGGCCTTCATCCAGCAACAGATAGACGGTTAGCTCAGATATATATTACACAATCTCTTTCTGTCGGTCTTTAACAAGCCAGACTGTTTTGAAAAGCAGAGCTGATGTGAGATCAGTCCTTTCATCGCTGGACGATCGGGCTCTAGAGTGTGCCGGTGTGTGGTGGTGAGCACCTCTCCCCCGAATTCACGCGAAACGCAGCAGGAGACCGAGCGGGACAGTTGTTGCTGTGCCGTTCCCACCTCTTTGTCAAACCGGTCACTTTGGCTCCATTACACTGCGCACGAGGCCTCTCGCGCCCGCGGGATGATTAACCCGCCCGGCGTTCCCCGCGGTCGCAGCTGCATTCACGCAGCAGATTAAAACGTCGCTGACGCGATGTCGAGAAGGATCCGCCCCCAGGGCGTGCGCCGGCTGTCGTGCTCGCGGCCACGCGACTGTCGGTGACTCTGGCGGGATTCTGTCCTACTGCAGGGCTCAAGCCGGCGACCGTTAACTCCAAAGCCCAGGCGGGCATCGTCGGCGTGTCACTTCGAGTCCATTGGTTTAACCAATGTTACATTAGATACACGGCTGTGCCTTGAGAACCACTGTTTTGCCTGTTACAAAGACAAGAGAGTGCATGCTCGTCTTCATTATCAGCCGTGGTTAATCCACTGCTGGATGAAGGTCTCCCCAAGCTGCTGCCATCTCCCATGATTTTTGAGAATAGGCTGCTAAAGTGGAAACGTTTGTTGGAGTGATAGGTGGCTCAGAAATGGTGCATTCATCTGTAGATGTCCTGCTTCAACAACAAGACCACCACCCCCATTCACACTTGTGTTGGCTCACAGCTAGAAATCCACTAAACTATTTTTAACAAGGGCAGGCCATTGTTTGTTAGCGTTTGACCAACTTTACAGAACAAGGATAAAGTTCACGTTGCATCATTGTAAATAGAATAGAGTTATTGCGAAAAAAAATGATTCGGCAAGTCGCCAACGCAAGCCGGGCGCCTCATCTCTCGTGCAACCACGCGAGATGAGGCACTTGCCAAGCCGCCCCTCGACGTTTCACTGACGGGCTGAGCGAGACCACGTGGGCATCCACCGCCGTCGCTACGCTTGGGCAGCGGCGAGCGCTCATTAACAAAGTACACTTCTGACTTTATGTTTACGCGGTGTGCTCAGCGACAAAGTCACTGAGCGGAGGCCCAATGGCCCGGGTTGCTGAGTGGCCGGCAGCGTGCAGCACTGTTGCGCTTATTGAAATGAGCATGGTTGTTATAGTAACTGGGGAAAAGAGACGATGATGGGTCGAGAGATTTACGAAGTGGAGCAGTGCGAGAGAAGTGCAACGAGACTTGTTGGGACCTGCAGTGTGGTGCGTAAGTGAGTGGGTGAGTTAGTGAGTAGGTTAGTGGGTGGGTGAGTGGGAAAGTGAGTGGGTGAGTGAGTGGGTGCGTGGGTGAGTGGATGGATGAGTGGGTGGGTTGTTCGGACCTCCAGTGTGGTGATGAATGAGTGGGTGAGTAGATGAGTGGGTGGGTGAGTGGGTGGGTAGGTGGGTGAGTGGGTGGGTGAGTGGGTGGTTGGGTAGGTGGATGAGTGGGTGGGTGAGTGGGTCAGTGAGTGGGTGGGTGGGTGAGTGGGTGGGTTGTTAAGACCTGCAGTGTGGTGCGTGAGTGAGTGGGTAGGTGAGTAGGTTAGTGAGTGGATGAGTGGGTGAGTGGGTGAGTGAGTCGATGGTTGTTGGGACCTGCAGTGTGATGGGTGGACATTGTGGATGAGATGAGACTGTCCGTCTGATAAACGGCATCCTCAGGCGAGGTGGACTGGCACGTACGATTGATGTCACGTACATTGCGTCGATTCACGTTTAGTTTGTTGTCCTTCCCCCGCACCTCCGATGAGCGCGGTTGGCTACTCCTCGTGTAAAGTATCTCTCCGCACTGTACAGTGCACGCAAAACATTTTCACAGCGACGACACGGTACGTATGCCCGCGCGCACGTACCGTGTGTGCGCGCACGCGGACGTGGCTCGAGCCGTTGGGTGGAATGTGCTGGGGAGTGCTGGATATTTTTAGGGGCTCCCATTCTGAACGTAGCCCTCGTTGCATCTGTCACTGCCGCGATGACAGCTGTTGCCGGGCAATGCCCCCAGCCCGGAGAGGTCCTCCCATTAGCTCACTCGTCAAGCGCCAGGGTCCCGCGCGGAAAGTCGCTCTTCTTAAACACGCTGCTATTGACGGCGCAATTGCGGCAGCGCGGCGCGCCCTCGCTCGAGCAGGGCTCCACGGTGTTAGTTCACACGAGCAGGGCTCCACGGCGCTCACTCGTGTTAGTTCACACGAGCAGGCCTCCACGGCACTCACTCGTGTTAGTTCACACGAGCAGGCCTCCGTGGCACTCACTCGTGTTAGTTCACACGAGCAGGCCTCCACGGCGCTCACTCGTGTTAGTTCACACGAGCAGGCCTCCACGGCACTCACTCGTGTTAGTTCACACGAGCAGGCCTCCGTGGCACTCACTCGTGTTAGTTCACACGAGCAGGCCTTCACGGTGTTAGTTCACACGAGCGGACCTTCACGGCGTTCACTCGTGTTAGTTCACACGTTGCCCCATTGCTGGGGTGACCATCTTACCCGTTTTGCACTCTCCGCTTGTCACTCTCTCCTCATTCTCCTCTCGCTTCTCTTCTCTTTCCTCTGCTTCTCTTTTTGGACTCGGATCACAAGTAATCGAGCCCTGCTGTTAAAACTTGGCAGGATCCTCCTGAAAACGAGTCACAAGACTCAGTGAAGGTTTCCTGGGTATACAAGCGTAAATAATAAGTAGTGAAATAATTTCGTTACAATTTGAATAATCATTATGGGTAGCACTGTGGTGCTTGATCAGTTGGGTGTTTAGTCCATTGTATATCTGTGATTGTTAAAAGACTTACCCCTTTCGAGAAAAGTAAGATGGTAATGGTTCCTATCAGAGGAATGTGGATTTTTAAAACACTCACTCACTCACTCACTTGACTATTTCTGCATCTTATCATTAAGCTGTAATATTGAAATAGATTATTCAGAGGAATCATGCTGATCATCTGCCTTTCTCAATCCACTGCTGGATGTTGACCTCCCTAAGCTGCCACCATCTCATACGGTCCCCGATCTAACATATCACAGCAATAGTTTATAATGTTTTATGAATACATATAGACCTTATTCCCGTGTAATAGCAACTGATTATATTAAGATTGTTGGAGCGAGGGAGGGAGGTCCAATGGTGTCTGCTGCTCGGAGCGGCTTCATGGATCATGGATGTCGCCAGTGTGGTTGAGATACATCACGTTCAAAAACTATTTTAATCTGGCATTTTCTAAATAATTATCCTATGGATATTGTTTTATCGCTTTCCTTATTTAAAAGCGCTTGCATATTCGTTCGATTATTGTTTTGTTTTCTACCGTCTTGCTTGATCTTATTCCGAGAGGTTCAGGGCGAGCGGTATAAGTGGCGAGTGAAGTCTGAACCAGTCTTGGGCCTTCCCTCTTTACCAACACGTGCTGAGCAGTATGGTGAAGTATGGTCAAACAATCCTGACAACCACCACACCTTAGATGACAGAGGGTTGAAACTTTAGAATGTCGTGTTGTAGCAAAAATCCGGTGTGAGAATTTTGAGGTGGCCCCCACTAAAGGCGCTCTATAAGAACAATGTTGTTATTATTATTACTACACCGGGTGAGACCCTGGAAACAACCCACCTGCCACTCCCCTTGGAAGCCATCAGCTGGGCTGTGTCTTCATCTCAACCATGAACTCACATCCTCCCCCGCCGCACCGCAGGATGCTGAACGGGGCCGGCCACCAAGTGGACCTTATTTGCGGCCGTGAAAGCAGAGCGGCTCATGAATCATTCGCCCCTCGGGTTGGAACTCTTGGTCAGAACCTTCGAAAACGTGTCGAGCACTCATCCATACATTATCTTCTCAACTGGTTGGTTGTAGTATCAGTATTTTTGTTTAGTTTCATCGTCAACATCATCAGTCGTGTTCCATCCACTGCTAGATGACAGCCTCCCCGAGCTGCCGCCACCTCTCTCGATGCTGCAATGTATGAATCCACCCGGCACCTGCACACAAACCGATTTCATCGCTCCATCTCCACGATGTACATCCGCTCGGACATTATTTGTTCCTTGGCTAGCACGGAATTATTATTCACGACGCTCGATCATCGTCCGTTCGAGTGACACGGCCTGCCTAAATGGGGTGCGTCGATGGAAGGGAAATTCCCCCCCCCCCCCCCCCCCGCTAAGCTTCTGAGCGAGTCTGGCCTCTCAGCCGGCTCATCCTCGCCGACGTTCCCCGCTGACTCCGCGACCCCACTCAGCCGGAGGTCGCGGTAGCAGGGCTGCAGGTGTGCCACTCTCCCTCCTCCTCCTCCTTAGGGATTTTCTTCTGAATAGTTTTTCATTTTTACTTCTCACAGCTTACCATATTTTGCATGTTATAAAGAGCGTTCTGTTTGAATTAGTTTCAACGTTTTAAAGGAAACGTAATTGCCAAGAGTTTTGTATATACGTCTCCAATTTAAAAAGCACAAAAAGTTGAATTATTAATGGCTCCGGTCATGTAATTTTAACATTTCCATAAATTACATTTTTGGGTGTAAATTCCTTTCACAGCATAAAACCTCACGAATGCGACACAAAGCAAGCCGCTCGCACAGAGGCCGAGTGTTCCTTGCACCGTAAAGTGCGGTATGTGCCGCCAATAATCGGCAGCACGTGCTTTCTCATAATGGCCGCTGCAGGGCGTACAGGTGCGGCAGGGATTGCTCAACTCTCTCGCTGTCACGGGCGAGTTCTGCTCTTGCAAGTCACACTTGTCGCGGTCATCTCCTAATGCCCACACGAGCCTTGAGGTGTTGGTGCTGATCTCCCGTTCACAGCCCTGAGCCACTGGCGGGAATTCCAAATTCCTGCGGCAGAGAGAGAGATATCTCCATAGGACAACCACTCTTGGACTTTGTCACAAAGTGGTGCTCAATTTATCGACCCTTTCGGGATGATGGGCTTATTCAACCCCCAGCCTGGATGTGAACTTGCAACCTTCTGATTGCGAACCGCTCGCTCTTCCGCTGAGCTACCTGGACGGTTAAACGCACTTCCTGAGAGCCTGCGCTTATATGTCTGGTTTTAATTGCCTGCAAACTATAACCACGAGTTTCACTTTAGACCTATGTTTCTGACATTTTCACATTTTTACTTTCCGAGAAATTACAAGGATTAATATGAATCGTGACATTTACATTTTCCAATTGGAATCCAATTTGAAAATGCAAATACGAAAAGCCATCATGTTTGGAATGGATATCAAATATTATCGTAACTTAGGATGCAAGCCAATTAGCTGAAATATTAATTGGTCATATTATTATTGCTCCATTAACTATAATTAATTACTCTCATATCTTTGTTGTGTTCAACGAACACATCCAGTGATAACAACCAGTGATAAACAATACTTATAGAACTTACGCAATGGGGGACTTAAGTTAATTGGTCATGGCTGTTGATGAACAAATGTTAAAACTGTTGTAGCTGGAGAACGTAATTAATGAGGAATTGCACGTTGGCTGTGTTGCTCTAACAAATGCAGCGTGTTCCCCCTTGCGTCACTCAGCGCTGATCACGCGTCTGGGCGATCTGCCCTTTGCTAAGCTGAAGACACACAGTGGGGAGCGACCGTGCACCCCTCTGGCCACGTGACTCATGGTTCAGCATTATCAGGCGCCATGCAAAGCGTTTCTGTTTACCTCAAGTTCCATGGACAAATCAAACGACACCAATTCCAACAGAAAACCTCACGCACAGTCTGTTCGGTTTTCTCATGTACAAAGACAAAGATCCCCCGTATAGCCTTGAACAGACTGTTGGGGCAAGTGCTGTTAGCGAGCACCTATGAAGGACGGCACAGCGCACGAGGGGGTGGGTGGCGAGCACCACGCCCGGCCGCCTTTGTCTCCCCAGTGGCGATGTTTACACACCGCACCAGGTATTAATTTGAGGCTGTGTCGACCTGGGGGAGACTCAGGACCAGTTCAGATAATCGTCACCGGTGTTGGCTGTGAGTGGGAATTGAACTCGGATCGCCAGGCCCATAGCACAGCGCGTCTACCCCTTCACTACCGCTCCCACACAACAAAAATCGCCATTCGCCACTAAGTGGTGGTGACATCACCACGACGCTTGTGCCAGGCTATGTGCACGTTGAGGCCACGTGAAGTGTCAAACGCCCACTGGCAGGAGGTCACGGGGCAGACCCAGGTGTCACGGGTCGACTGACTGAGATGACTGGCTGATGCACCACCTGTGCCCCCTACTGTGCCAACTGGCTGTGCTTTAGCCACCCGGCGCTCCGCTCGTTATTGTGAGCGTCGCTCCTCCCCCCTCTGTTGTTGAAGGGCGGCTGCCTCCAACTGCCCAGTAGCGTCCTTCACGAGCTTCCTCCACAGAGGCCGATCTTGACACCGCTGGTACCAGTCATCGGCTAGTCCACTCAGCTCCACATCCTCCTATATCACATCACTCCATCTCCTCTCTAGCCCGTGTCGCGCCCGTTTAGCCCCCTCGATCCGGCCGAACAAAAGCTGTTTAGGCATGCGGTGGCTGGGCATGCGGGCTACGTGACCCAGCTAACGCAGCCTTGCCTGCCGGAGGAGCTCACCGATGGGACTTTGTCCAGATCTTTCAAGGATATATGAGCTCCCCCACACACACACACAGACACACACACACACGCGTGGCCCTTTATTTTCCTGGATACTTTCACCTTTGTAGAGTTTTCGCACTTCACTGGATTGATTTTAGCCGGCGTGTCGTCAGGACAGATTCTGATATTACTTGATACAGATGTTAACCATGACCAAGAATCAAACCGAGGTTTTTAAGTTTGTAGCAGAGTGCGCCAGTCACTGTTCCACACACGTTAATATACGTACATACATACACACAGGCATGAGTGCAGCCCACACACATTCTGCTTTCAAGTAAATGTATTGTGTATTTTTAAAACGTGCGAGCCCATATGCACAAAGTAAGATGCACGTGATTGGACCGTTACCACGCAAACCACACGTGTGCACCCACACGTTTGCTTTTCCTGTTCCGACACGCGCACACATGGCTGTAAAGTCAGAGCGTGGATATTCGTGAGTGTACGCCACCCGTGCCACCCTCCAAACTTAAGTCCACGCAACTCGCGCGTGCCCAGGGTTTGCGTAAGTGCCGTTGCGTGACGTGCCGTTAATGCGCTTGGAATTTTGGTTTCAGGTTATTCGCTGGCGTAAAAAAAACCCATCACGCTGGAGTAACAGCCAAATCGTCTTTCCTGCTGCGAACGCGTGTCCTCGTCGGAGCGGCACGCACACCGCGGCTTGCTGGTTATGATTCACCCTCTGAGTCATGGGTCAAATATTGTCCGTGGAATGCGCAGAATTGAACGATACTCAAAACGGCGCGCACGCATGCGAAGCCAAGCAATCCCGCTAAATTTACGTCCAGCATTATTATAAAAACCCGCCAACGTTCGTGCAACGAGACTGTTATCATGATGATTACCTGCGATGTTTGCAAACGCGGACACGGGATATACCGGACGGATGCTTCGCGTTTCGCAGGCCGTGTTTGTCCAGCTCTAGAGTTTTATTTGTACTGTCTAGTTAATTTTGTAGCTTACATAGGCTTGGAGCTGTCCTCCTATAGGGATGCAGCTGCAATCCACACCGCAGGTTAGAAACCTGGGGCAAAAGAACACATTTGTTCACATTGGGTAGAAATGTTTTACACGGTCTTTTGTGCACGCTGGTGCCGCTGTGAGCAAAAAATATTGCAATGAAAAGGTATTGTTAATAATGTTACGTGCTCCCTGACATAACTTAGAGATTTGTTTTTAAAACATTTATTAAGAGAGAAGGATTGGTTGCTGCAAGCTAGAGTTGTACATTGACTTATGCACCCCTCACTCTCTCTGCTATTTGGAATGTTGTTGCCTTTAGTTTGGCCCGGCGCTCTTGAAGCAGAACCTCATTTTTGACCCTTAGGGTTGACCGGTGACAGATTTACACTCTCCAACGGCAGGGATGTTTTTTAGGTGTTTTGCATGGGCTGGCCAGAGGCCTCCAACCTGCGGGTTTAATTAGAAATGTCAGCCCTTCCCGTAAATTCCCGCGTGTTTATTTGGTTGTGACCAGCCATGCGCTGCTTCCGAGGACACCGTAAATATGCTCCGCTCTCACCGATTATTTTTCGTTTTTTCCGTTATTCCCCCACCCGGCGTTTGTTAAACTCATTTGGTTTCCATCCGAACGAACATCTTCCCGCACGGCCACGGGCAAATCGCAAATACTCGTCCTCCTCGCAGACCAATGAGACTAGTGCCCTTGACGAGGACTTGCCGTTTAACGATGCATCAGGTAAAACATATTTTTTACATCCGTGATACATTCGCCAAATCGTGTGCACGATTTTTTTTTTACAGTTTATGAAAAAATATTTGCAACGGACACGCTAATGTTAACTTTCAGCTCACAGAGTGAACAAAACTATTACAAAGGAGCCTGAAATAACGAGGGAACATCGAAATGAGATGACAAAAACGACACAAAATGATACATCGATGATGGCGTCTCCCAAGGGGCCCCCGGGGCAGTGGGGGCATCTCCCAGGCCTGCCCTTTCTCCACTGTGGACAGGAGACAGCCCCCACCCCGGGTGACTGACGTGCCGCTTGCGTTCGTTCCAGGACCCTCCGACGTCCGTCTCCCTTGGGCTCAGGATGGAGGAGATGATCTTCAACCTGGCCGACACACACTTGTTCTTCAACGACCTTGAGGTCAGTGCCGGTACAGGAAAGTCAGTGACGGAAGAGTCAGCCACAGAAAGGCTAGTCGAAGGAAAGTTAGTCCGAAGGAAAGTCAGGCGGGGAAAAGTCCTCCACGAAGGACAATCACGTCACGTTGACGTTGCAGAGACATCAGTACCCATGTGTGAGACTTAAGTGAGAATGATTGGAGAGCGCAAATTAAATTAAGATGTCATGATGAAAGTCGTGGTACAAGCTTGTGGATATTTACTCAGCGGTTCACAAAACGTGAAGGTTTTCTGGAGAATTAGGAACAGCTGTGTAGGCTGGCGGTCATTTTCTGACAGTTAAGCTGCTGAGTGCAGTAGTATTCCCTGGATTAGTGGATTAAGAATTACCTTTTAATGAAATATTAATTGCCAAAAAAGTTCAAAATTAGCAATGCTACTCTCATAAACTCAATAGCCCTGGGTGAATAAGTGGTACCTAATTTCCCGGCCCCGACCAGGATATGATTACTCTTTGGTTCTTTCGGTAAAGTCACGTAGGTATAAAATAAAATACATTTCTAGACTTCAAATCTAGACAGGATATGATTATTGCAACTATGAGGTTGTGAGCTGACCACTCTGCCAACTTAACGAAACGTACGTATGAATGCATATATATAATTACGTAATCTGACACAAAGACACAAATCTCTTGTGTAGCCTACACTGGCTGTTGGGGCAAGTGTCGTTAGCGAGCACCTACGAAGGCCGGCACGGCACACGAGGTGATGGTGTAGCCAGCACCACACCCGGCTGCCTTTGTGTCCTCCAACCCTAATGCTTACACAACACATTATGCACTCATTTAAGGCTGAGTTGACTTATGGGAGGCCCAGAATCAGTTCAGATATTTCCCTCTGATGTTGGCGGCGAGCGAGATTCGAACTTGGGTCGTTGGGTTCGCTGTGCAGAGCGCTGACCGCTACGCTGCTGAGCCGCACTCTCTCTCAAGAACGAACGCGCACACAGACGAGCACACGCACGAGCACACGCACGAGCACACACACTCTCACGCACACACACGCACGAGCACACACACGAGCACACACACTCTCACGCACACACACGCACGAGCACACACGCACACACGAGCGCACACATGAGCACACGCACAGTGGTGTGACGTGGGTTATGAATTTCCCAGCGGAGCAGTCCCTGGAGTTCGTAAAGAATGGGACCCGGGTAAACGGCGAGGCACGTGGCACAGGCAATCCATCTTGGCTCTCTCGCCGGAGAGGCGTGCGCACTCCGTGGTGTCAGCGGTCCTCATACAGTGCGCACACTCCATGGAACTGCAACATATCATCGGATAATTGCCTCCTGTGGACACAGAAAAAAAGAATATTCTTGCGTATGAGTGAACTAGAGAAAGAGCATAATTCTTAAGTAAAAACATGGCAAAGGATATAATAGTTTAATAATATATATATTTTTTGAATAGCATGGCAATAAGTTCGAATAGTTTTTGGGCAGAAGAGCGGCACCAACAGTCGCCACGCTGAGCGTTGATCCACGACGCTGAGTGTTGATCCACGACGTCCAGCTCCTCGTCAGTGCCGTGTTGCGGGCGGTCCAGAAGCTCGGCGCCGAACGGTCGAGTCACTCGCTCACGATGATGACGCGCGCTCCAGAGCCGCTCCATAATTTACACGGCTCTCTGCGGGTCGGCGCGCGTGAAGTATTCGGCTCGTTATGATTTATTTAACGCGAGCTGAACGCCACTTTAAGCTTTAAGTGCCCGTGTTGTTTTGGGCACCGGTCCATATTTCTTTGCTCTTCATTACTACCGCGGAGGGAAAACAAACGTGACCCGAGTATAATTCCTGTCCTTGCTCAAAGCACGGATCAGTTCATTCTACGGTTGGGGCCACGTAAGCTGTCACCTGTGTGAAATACGCTGTTTGCCTTTAGAAACCCCATCCGTGCGTAACTTATCAATGGAGATCACACGGAGGGGCGCGCCCGCGCGGTGTCCCGCGAGCGCCCGCCGGTGCCGTCTGTCCGGCGGTGTGGGCAGGCTGAGCTTTCGCAGGCCCCGGTGGGAGAAGCGTAAATTTCCCACCGCTCCTGCTCGCTCTGCTTTTTCGTGAACTCGTTTGTGTGCGCCCCTCAGCCCGCCCCCCTCGCTCCACTCCCCCGCTGGGGTTGCCCGGCCTGGCGCGGCTCTCGGAGCTCTTTGTGCTCCGCCCACGTCGTCGTTTCTCCTTCCCGTGATGAGGTGAACGCCGCGGAGTTAGCGGCGCTCGCCTCCGTGTTAGGGTCGCGCGCAAAATCAGGCAGTGTTCTACAAAAGTTAAAGAGGCAGCCGTGCAATTTCTTACATTTAACAGCGCACAATGGTGTGCTCACAAACGGCTGGAGGGAACAACTCCCATCATGCCTTGCGTACGTGTCGTTTGACCGCCACTTTGCATATACGACGTGTTCAGCCTTGCCTAAGCCACCAGCTCCACAGAGCTGAATGTGCAGCCGTGTTATCGTTTAGGCCACCGATTCCACAAGAGTTGAAAATGTGGCCAACCCAAAACTGCTGGTGGAAGGGTCTCCACTCGAAGCAGTTCTAGAGGAGCCCCTGCGAGAGTGCATATTGGCCTACTCTTCTTCGTTGGCCGTACATCTTGGATTAGGCGGTAGTACCCGCACATTACCCCATGACTCAACCTACCGATTGACTAACCGGCGGTATACCGATCTCCACTGCTCGGTGGACAGCGACGGAGGGGTTGAAAGGATTGCTCCGTCGTGCCAACTGCTGCACGTCGAGGTAAAATTGAACCGGCGAGCTCTGAGATTGCGCGCGCCCGGCACGCCGAGCATCACGGCGGCATCGCGGCGGCAGCGCGTGGTCTCTTGCAGCACCGCCGCTGGAGCGGGAGGTAGCGCTCTGCGGGGCGTGGAGAGGGGGACGGCGTTGCTGTTGCAGAGGCGAGGGGAAGTCGAAATAATGACAGCGGGGGGCTGAGTCAGCAGGACGGAGTGCGAGTGCAGCTTGAGCCATCGGTGGTCTCTCGGTGTCGAGCCGCGTGGCTCCGAGGAGAGAGGCGGGCACAGCGAGGCACCTCGGATCAGAGGCATCGTTTTACAAATGAACAAAACCCGCACATCGATAGCAAACCGCAGCGGGCTGCTCGATTCGCATTTAAACTCAATTAAAATCCTTTGTAGCGCAGTCGTTGGCTTTTGACTCGTAATTGAGGGAGACCCTGCACTACTTTAACCAGGGCCATTTTAAATTGCGCCTCAAGCCGGATTACTTAACTGTTCCTTGGCGGCCTCGCCGTGTACCTCAGTGACCTCAATTAAGTTGAAGCGAAGGGCGCTCTCCAATCGGCGTGACAATCTGCTAAGAAGCGAGCCGCTCCTCGGCGCTCACCTTCACCTTCACCTCTTTCACCATCCCCCGAGCGGAGGCGGGACGCGGCTTCTCTCGGGGGAGCCGGAGCCCAGCTTGCCCCCCGCCACGAGAAGAGGCACCGCTCCGCCCGTGTGCGACGCACCTCGTCGGCGTCATCATCGTCGTCGTCGTCGTCGTCGTCACAGCGTCATCGTCGTCGTCGCGGCGTCGTCGTCGCGGCGTCGTCGTCGTAGCGTCGTCATTGCGGCAGCGGCGCTGTGACCGTGTTCGGGGTCGCGGCGAGGTCGCCGCGCGGCTCCGCTGCGGGGGGAGGCGAGGGCGCCCAGGGGGGCCGTGGAGGGGGTCGCGGGCTAGGGGTAAGAATGTTGTGATGCTGTGATGTTTTTAACCCTTGGGGAGAGAGGGACCAGGCGACCCTTGACCCAGGATGTAATGAGCACCAACTAGGGGGAGTCTGGGAATTGTAGCCAGGCTAGAGCACGCAATACGTTAAGAACATTTATGCCGCCGCCTTTTTTAATCGGATGCTTTTTTTTTGCGCTGCGTGCGATTTGTTATGGGTTTACTGACAAAGCGCAGACTTAGCCTTGAGAAAACAACCAAGAACGCCGAAGCTCGGAAGAATAATTCATCACGGTGGCCTGCAGCGTTGCTCAATGCGAAAACCACGCGCGCGTAAATCGGTTCGTCACACTTTCATTTTTCATTATCTCTGCGCTGATTCCTCTGACTTTACAGCATTTTCGAGTTGAGCCAGTTGTGTTTATCGTTGGAGACCTGAGTCGTAAATGTAAAAATGTTAAACCTTGAGACATTGCAAACATGTGCCTCTTTGGAGCTGGCAGTCATTCCGTCACGTGCAACGGTGATAATCTTGCGTGAGAAAGGTACATTTCTCTTCTAATGTCTACGTTCAGTTCGGTTTAAAATGTGGGTACGCCCACATCTCCCAATATGTGAAAGAGTAGACCAAATACCCTTAAGAGTTTTCTCGAGTGAAGTTCGTGCTATGAGTGGCGTGAGAAATTGCAGCGCTGCACCTTTGCCTTTTGTCACCTCAATACAAGCTGAACTTGTGACCTCTAATTAAAGTGCGCCGTCGACGACGATGCGGAGTGATATCCCTTTGTTTTCTCATTCTCCAAACATCTCTCTCGTTAAGGGACGACGGGAAGGAGCGGAGTGTTATGTGCCCTCTAAATATTCCCAGACCCTGAAAGGTGCTGAAAGAGAAACCACGCGTTTCACGCCCCAAACAAACGTCCCAGGCTCATTACGATCCCCCGAGTTCCGTCACGCTGGCACACACAGCGGAGGTGACCGTGCCCGTGTCATTATCCCGGATTGTTGGCTATTACTACAGTTTTTTTTACAGCATCGCCATGCATTTATGTATTCGTTTCCAAGATATGTTGTTTATTCACTGCACTGTTGCACACAGCAGTTTCCATGTACTGGTAGAACATGAATAACCACGCGTTGACAATCGTCCAAACGCAAAACTATGCTCTGCCATTGTAGCCAAAATGGGCAGGGATACATTTTGAAGAAAATAATCATACCGATCAATACATTGCAGGTGGCTCTCAGCAGTAGAGCAAGCGGCTCGTAATCAGAAGGTAGCGAGTTCACATCCTGGTTCAGTGTTGACTCGGCTTGTCAACCCTCCGGTAGCACTTTGTGTGTGTGTCCTATGGATAAACTCACCCCTGCCATAGGAATGTGGAATTTCGACCAGAGGCTCAGGGCTGTTAGCAGGAGATGAGCACTGTATCGATGGTCATTTGAGTAGGAAATTACTTTCCTTCCTTCGAAAAGGGTTAGTAATTCTCAATGTGATTTCACACATAAATAAAAGCCTTCGAGCAGAACGGGTTTCCATTCCCGTTTCCGTTCACCGAGGATGGGGACGGAGCTGCCGCTGTTCCGCCACCAGCGCAGCACACGCTCCGGCCCAAGCGTCCGTGCTGGCGGGGGAGCCGTTGCTCGGGAAGGGCGCTTGCGCCCCACCACGGGGCTGGCCATCAACCAGCGACTGGAAGCTCGCTGGTGCTTGACGCTTACCAAACAACTTGAGCCCCGGATGACGGAGCCCTCTTGGTGGAATGCGAGCGTCGCGGACTCGTGCGTCGATGTTTCCACGTCGCCGTTTCTCCGGCGCATGGGTCACGGCGCCGGTCGGCGCTATTTAGACTTGGGATGCTTCTTCGTGCAATGTTGTTATTTTTTATTTGCTCGTGCTTTAAAAGCTTCGGCCGACCGGTGCTTACAGAGAGCATCCACTTAGGGCTTTGTTAAGTGGAGACTATTTATGCTTCAGGGATGGCAGATCTCCCAGGTCAGGAAAGGAATTTTCTTATACCCTCCCAAAACCTCCCTGAATATTTCAGGAGGCACCATTAGAAATGCCTTTTGTTGCAGCTCAGCACCTTGCTCTGAATCTGTGTCACATTTCCCACGTTCTGGTTCGCCAATGCTGTGTGATGCAGGGTTAACAGCATTGGATACAGAGTCATCAAGAGGCGAATTTGAGGGTTAGAAAGGCGATGAGAGCAGAATCGCCGCTCCACGGGAGGTCCACATTGAGCACGTACAGGAGAGGAACCATAGCTCCGGGTTGCGTAACCCGCCGCTCCACTCGACGAACTGCCACTATTCGGGGTCACAATTTGAATGAAATTATATTCTATCTCATTTTTAGTTTTCTTTGCTTTGCTCGTCCCGTACGATCAGTCTCGTTTGTTCCCTCGCGCCCTTTCCATTCACCTAAAAGCAACAATTTGTAAATATTCGGTGCACGTATTATGAGCGTGAGATTGAGTTTAATTGAAAAAATAATTATAAAGGAGTGCTGCTCGCAAACAGCAGGAAGCCACGACATCATTCCTGCGGTTTGTGAGCAGCACTCCTCCGCGTGTCGTCGTTCCTCCTCCTGCGATGGGAATTGCTCCGCTCGTCGTAGTCGCACGCTCGCCCTGGCGGGAAGTTCGTTCTCTGCGGTTGTGCTGTTGAGGGCGGTGTTCGATAACGTGTGCGCTTTATTGCCCACTTAATCCCGTGTCTCAATCCACTGTGTATCGCTTTGGTTCAGCGTTTTAATCATTGCTGGCAATTCTATTGGCGTACTCATGGATTACTCTCTTAATCTTCGTATCGGTTATGTTTGCCTCCGAGAGATATAAGCTTGACTATCGTGGCTCCAGTTCATGCGGTGCACGTGTGGTGTGTGCCTGTGTTCGATTTAAAGAGTTGACGTATCAAACATTGTGAGGGTTAAGGAAATTAATGTGGCGCGTTTCGTTCATGGTGTAACGTTTACGAATATCGCACAATCTCAGAAATAGCTTTTTTTGAAAGTCCGAGGCTTATCTCGATGTCTGTATGAGCACTGGCTGGGTAGTTGCGCAGTACGCAGATAAATCAAAAGTGCACAACATGACCAAAGGGCAGAGAATATCCACACTCGGGGCTCTCTTTATAAAAATAACCACCCACCCCAGCCAAAAAGGTTTCGGCGCGGTTCGGCATGCGTCGGAATGTCGTTCCATTTTTGTACCACAGGTAGCGGGTTTTTTTTTGTCTGAAACAACAAAAACGTTTTCATTTGCCGAATTAATGGCCCCCATCATGCGCTGTGCGCAAAAATACAACTCAAGGAGTGGCCCCGGGTCAGCGCTGGCGGAGCCACGCGTCATCTCCAGCGGGGTTTGCGCCAGAGACCCGAGAGCCCATGGGATGGGATGGGGGGGGGGTGTTTTCTTCTCATTAAACGCACGTGGTGCGGTCAATCACAGCGGTGGCGGAGCGGTGCCGGTGGCGGCGCGGTTCAGGCCGGGCCACTCGCGGCTCGGCTCGCCCACTCGGCCCCGCGTACCACGAAGGCCACAAGAGGCTTTACGATCGCCATCCCCCCACTGTCACCCCCTCCCACCTCCACCCCCTAAACTATCACCCCCTCCCACCTCCACCCCCCCACTGTCACCCCCTCCCACCGCCACCCCCGCACTGTCACCCCCTCCCACCTCCACCCCCTAAACTATTACCCCCTCCCACCGCCACCCCCTACCGCCCCCACCTCCACCCCCAGCCCCTCCTCAAAATGTGTTCTGCCCTTCAACTTTATGCGCATTCTAGTTTGCAGGGCAGCAATGCAAAGCGTTTGATTTGTATTCTTGTACGGAGTCAACATTCTGAATGACTCTCGGGATGCTGGACAGAGCTATTAGGGGCAAAGAATGTGCAGTAAATTCGTATAGTATGAAAGACACGATCGGATAAAAATGTAAATGAGTTACGTGGAGAAGATACAGGAAAATGAATTATAGAGAAGAAAAGAGGAAACCCTCGTATGAGAAAAATTCTAAAAGCAACAGCAAAGTTGTAGTGGGCAGTGAGAGCACGGAGAGTTGAAGGTATCAGGGAGAACGTGAAGGTGTGTGGCTGCAGGGCGTGAAGGCCAGGCAGGAGCGCTTGTGGTGGAGTCCTGAGTTTGGCAGTTTTTTAACATTGACGACAGTGTTTTAGGCAAGAAATTTGATAACTAATTAATCATGCAATGAGATTATTTTAATCTGAGAAATTGTTCTCAATGTTGTAATTATCACCATTCTTGTAATCTTATTACTCCATAGGCGAGATTTGCAAATATCTGAATTTGATTATAACTGGACCTGGTGGACTCAGCTCATCATCCAATCTGTCCATACTCCGTAAAAAGGCAACCATTTTGTGAGAAGTTAGCAGTGGAAGTTTATGGATATCATTTCCTGTCATGGCAATTTTAAATTTCCACTGCCAGCATTAGGGATGAGCATGTATTCTCCATTTGAAAGGAGACGCTGTGGCTGTGACTTGCTATAGTGGCGAGATGTTAACTACCTCGCCTGGTATACAGGACGTTGTAGGGTTCGATCCCGACCCTGGCACCTGTATATGTAGAGTTTGCATGTCTCTCTCCCCGTGGTCACGTTGATTTTTCTCCAGGTCATCTGGTTTTTCCCTCAACATTTAGAAACATGCGTTTGGAGTATTTGGCTGCTATACAGTTCCGCGTGATAAACCACATCGTTGAGCTATCGTTTGTGGCCAGGTCGTGTCTGAAAAAGAGTTATATAGCTCAGTGAGCGTTACCTGGTAAAATAAAAAACTTTGGTTTAGTTTCAAAGTTCGTTTTTGAATCTGGGGAATGTGGTGAAGCCGTGAGTGGTTTGTGTAGAGTCGCGTGAGTAATCCTAAGACATGCTGCTGCTGTTGCCGCCGCCGCTGCTACCCGTTTGCAACGATCGTCCTCTCAGAAGGGACGCGTTTCCCCTCTCGGGCTCGTTCGACTGCGCTGGAGACGTGGGGCGCGCCGGCTGTACGAGCGCTCACGGCGGGCCGGGAATATTTAGCGCGGCTCGCTCGCGTTCACGGCGCTGTCCAGCCGGCATTCGCCACCGGCCGCTGCCGGCTTCGGGGAGCCGTGTCATTAGCAACGGCACTGAGTGACGTAAACAGCTTACCGGCGCTCTGTGGGGGGCTCAATCGCTTCGGCGGCTTACTGTGGCACAGCGGTTGAACCTTTATTTATTTTTCTTGACATCGAACTGATGAAGTTAATAGAAACCTCCTGACGTCAGTGGATCGTCGTCGCAGCCTGCGAGTGTGCGCTCGCGCGCGTGTTTGTTCGGAGGTCTCGTTAAAGAGATAATTGCCACGGTTATGGATCGTTATTTGATTAGGACGGATAACTCATTTGAGGCTGGATTTGCTGTGCGAGCACGGGAATTAAACGTTGGGACACAACTGAGGTTAGCGAAGAACCCCGGACTTCAGCATTGACCAACTGAGCAAAGGCAGCTGACTCAAGTTCTGCAGTAAATATAGTGGCACAGTTTCACAGGCAGTGGCACCAACATCGGCATTCTGTCATTGAGCAGTGGATAGAAAAAGGCTGATGATGGCATTATGTATGACTATAAGTGGAATTATGTTTATTATTTAATTCAT